CCAGATAAATCTCTGATTTATGCTTCTCATGCTTTACAACTATTTTATTATTTTATAATAAATTACAATTTCATTCTCTTTGGTTTCATCTCATTATAATTCACAAAGTGGTTTCTTTTAGTATAATCCATGTGTAATTTTATTTTTCATCGTTTTGGAAAAACCCTTTTGTTATTTTAAGTTGTTATCCTACATATTTTTTTTCTTTGTTTTAGTTTACTTGACTCTGAATTTGGCTTGCTCTTGATTAAAATTTTAGATATATGAAAATGTTTCTTACAAGTTAAAATGGTATATAAAATAATAGAAATTAAATTACAAGACTGAATTGCAAAAGATACAAAATATAAAATTTAATATAACTAACGAGACATTTAAAAAAGAAATAATCACATCACGTTTGTATGAGGATTAGTAAAAGAATTTTAAAAAAATAAAAAAATTTCATAGTTTTCTTTCCATCTGTTTCTCTTGAACCAAACATAGTCCAAAAATAATATACGCGGAGTCCATCAGACTTCCCTTGCGTCAGCATATAATTTCTGGAGCTGAAGAGAAAAGGAAAGATTTTGAAAATATGGGTGATGACGCCATGAACCCTCGTGTCACTTCAGGTGATAAACTTTGGAGAGGTGAAGACCTCAGTGACCGTAAAGTAAGAGCCTTTTAGATATCTGCAAGAGGGTTCAGGGTTCTACTTTTTAATGCCTATGCTCAAGCTATTATGCCCACCAGCATTCAACTTTCTGTTTGGTATTTCACTTTTTCTCTTATATCTCCCTGATCAGTATATGTGATATTTGGATTTCATCATAGAATAGTGAAGGAAGAGATCTTTTTATTGCTTGGAGGGCGTATGTTAGCTCTTATTCAATTTGCACATCAAGTGTTTGATGTTATGCCTTCATTACAGTTTCTCGTTTGGTCAGCTCATTGTTCTTCAAATGAAATTGATTGAATAAATAGAGAAATTTATCTGTTTAAGATTATTATCTGATTTTAAGTGATTCCATGTTTCTCCTCGGTGTACATGTTAAGACCCAGTTGTAATCCTACATAAACGTAATGCAAGGGAGTTTTCTCTTTGAAGAGAAAAAAGAAAACCAAATTCATAAAATGCTAGTATGCTTTTGCTTAAATAATTTTCTATTTCTATTCACTTATTCAATTTTAGTATTTTGCAAGTAGAAATATAACATTTCAGACCTTTTACAGTTGCTAACATGAGAGTTTAACCGCTATTTATGATACTAACATCTTCCTGCTTACGCTATGTTTATAATAAATTTAAACTTTTTAAGGAATTTTTTTTAAATTTAAATTTAACTCAATCATAAGATAATGAACAAAAAAATAAGATAATGAAAATTTCTCCGAGAAAAAGTGGAGTCCTATGGAATAGAAAGATTAGATTCCAAATTCATCAAAATTTCAATAAAATTTCGAATAGGTCTTTTGGGTTCCACTTGAAATTCCATTTAAGATTATATTTTTTTCGTCTACTACAATTTGCACCATCTTCTAAACTAAATGTAAATTCATAAATAAATTTCACCTGATTTATGAATTTCCTCCAAACATAAGATCAATGATTATTGCAGCACTCTCGATGCTTAACACTCTCAATGCTTAATACATGTTTCTCATTCCATTGCACACTTAAAGCTTTTTTTTTTCAGCCTAAAAAAGAAGTTTTTTTTTCTTGTTTGTGCCAGTAATATTCAACATTAGTCCTTTGCTTTGTTGGTTATGAGATTAATTTTTACTTTCAATTCTTCCCCATCTCTAAGTCATGACTCATAAAGGAACTTTTTTCCAAAAGAACAAGCTGAAGCATCTGCCTGAGACTCGCTTTTCTCTCATTTAAGGGTTTTTTTTTTATCTCGTAATTGAATTCTTTGCAATACATTTCTCTGATGGAAGGTTAGAAGGAAGACCAAAAAACTCAGAAGATCCAGAGTGCAGTTTTCTCGACCGGCCCTTTTTTTTTATCAAATAACTCGACTGACACATTTCAAGGCTCAGTTTTTGAACCTTATATTAGTCTTGCTGTACTTTCTTCCTCTATATATTTTTCCATCAATCTTTCTGTCAATATCTTATACACTTTAGTCTAATGAATTTCATTTACAGGTTAAGTAGTTTACAACACAAATATATAATTTTTGCAGATACAACTACCTGGTCTTGGGATGTATCAAAGGTATTTTTGTTAACTCTTATCTTGGTTTGTCTTGGTCGTGCCTACATTCTTGAGCCAGTCAACTACTTCTTTGATGGTTGGTCTTTTGAAAGGGTTCTGGCTAACACTCATGCAGGCCACATCAAGCACCTGTAACATCTCTTCATCAAAACCCTTACCTCTTAGGAGGGGATCAAAGACCTCATCTTCTTTGCCTTCACTCCTCATATCCTGCACCCAGCCAACCAATTCTCTTGACATCTTTGGCCTGAATACCTCTACTGGCCTCTTTCCGGTGAGTAGCTCAAGCATGACGACCCCAAAACTGTACACGTCTCCTCTCAATGTGGCAATCCATGCTTGCCCATACTCTGGAGGAATGTAACCCAGAGTACCAACAAGCTCGGTTGTACATGAGTGTGGTAAGGAAGTATCAACCCGTGACAATCCAAATCTGCAACATGTGCCTCAAACTTGTCATCTAGAAGAATGTTGCTGGACTATATGTCGCGGTGCACAAATATGTGGCTCACATACTTGGTGCAGGTAAGCCAGGCCACAACTTGTTCCCCTTTGCAATTTTCAATCGCAATGGCCAGTCTAGCTGGGATGGACCGTCGATCTTCTCATGCAACCAGGAATCCAGACTTCCATTCTCCATATAGGAATATATTAGAAGCCGACATCCCTCGTGGACACAATAGCCTTGCAGGGAAACAAGGTTTTCATGTTGCGCTGTCGACAATGCCTCTACCTCGGCTTTGAATTCCCTTTCCATCAGACCCATGTCTCCTGAGAGTTTCTTAACTGCCAGCTTGGACCCATTTGTGAGTGTTGCTTTGTAAACCAAACCAAAACCCCCACAACCAATGATGTTTGCTTGGTTGAAGGTCTCTGTGGCTCTCAAGAGCTCTGATACAGTAAGATCCTTGAACTCGTTATTGGTATTTGGGAATAATACAAGGTTGGTGTCCTTGTCAGCCTCTGGAGGAGCCACAGAATAAGAGTTGCTGGAAACGATATCCATTTCAATCTTGTCAGAATCTCCTCCTGGTATAATTCTCCTCTTGGAAAATATCCACAGTGCCAGTGCAGAGAGAATCAAACCAGTGCTAAAACAAATCCCAAGAACCAGTCCAATGATAAGTTTTATGTTTGAGCTATTCACAGATGTGGTAGGATGAGATGATTCTAGTGGGCCAGCGCAAGGACGCTGCAGAACATAACCACACAATCCTGGATTCCCTTCAAAACTGGTGTTAGGGAAAGTATCAAACTGACCTCCAGTTGGTATTGGTCCCTCAAGGCTGTTTTTTGCAACGCTGAATGAAGACAAGAAATGGAGACCTTTGAGAGATGGGGGAATTTCACCTGATAGATGATTTCTAGAGAGATCTAAGATCTCTAAATTTGTGAGATTTGATAACTGATCTGGAATGCTGCCAGTGAAGTTGTTATTACTGAGATCTAACACATGAAGAACCTTCAGAAGACCAATGTCAACTGGGATGTTGCCTGTGAGGTTGTTGTTTCTGACATATATAGCTGGTGGTAGACTGGAGAGCTGATTGTACTGCTGATTGGTAACATTATTAGGCATGACGAAAACAGGTAACTCTAGATAACTCCGTTCCATTTTGTCATAAACATCTTGTGTTGCCAGGGCCTTAAGTCCAGAGATTTCCTTGGGAAATTCTCCTGAAATGAGGTTATCAGACAAGTCTATGTAGAAAAGGTTTGGTAGAGTCCCCAACCATCTTGGAATTGAACCACTGATTTGATTTTGGGACAGGTCTATGACCTCTAACTTCTTGAGCTTAGCTAGCCAAGCGGGTATTTGACCAGTGAAACCACAACCCCCTAGGCCTAGAACTTGGAGATTCTGGAATCCATCTGAGGCGACTGTGTTTTCATCAGCTGGTATTGGTTCCTTCATAAAATTCTTGGAGATAATCAAAGTAGTAAGATTCTTGCAACCCATTAGAATCGTAATAGCCCCAGTGATATTGGTTAGCGTGTTGTTGGAAATTGACAGGAAAGAGAGAGATTGCAGGGCAAGTATTTCCTCTGATATCTGCCCCTCTAGCTGATTAGTGGCTAGTCTAACTGCAGTTAGTGACTTGCATGAGTACAGAGTTGAAGGGAACTTGCCTGCAAACTTATTGTTACCAAGGTCAATGATGCTAAGCTGGAAAAGGGTGGAGAAGTTGAATGAAGATAGATCTCCTTCCAAGAAGTTGACCCTCAAATTTAAAGTGACAAGATTCACGCAGTTCATGAGAGATGGAGGCAGATGACCGGTGAGGTAGTTGATGTGAAGTTCCAGTCGCTGCAAGTTGGAGAACTTACCAATATTTTGGGGAATTGGGCCATCAAGCATGTTAGAGTAAAGCTCAATGGTGGTGAGTTTGGTGAGGTTGACAATGCCATCACTTATGGGTCCGGAAAGGTGATTGACTGGTAAAGAGAGTTGTTCAAGTGTGACAAGACTATAAATGTCACTGGGAATTGGCCCTGAGAGATTGTTAAAACCTGCTCGCAGAATCTGCAGCTTGGTGCACTGGCCTAACCCAAAGGGTATGTGGCCCTCAAAATTATTATCTGACAAATCCAAGGTGGTGAGGGATGAATTAATACAGATGAATGAAGGAATTTGGCCTGTGAAGCTATTACTACTGACATTCAAGCTGGTCAAATTCCAAGCTGCCTGAAGTAAAGAATTAGAAGGTATTGTCCCATGAAAGTGATTGCTTGACAAATCCAGAATCTGTAGGGAGAGAATGTTGTTATTATCAGTAGACAAAGATTCCAAAGGTAGCTCACCAGAGAGGCTGTTGTCACTGAGATCAAGCATTTTGAGATGATTGAGAGCTGAGAAGAATCCAGGAGGAAGTTGACCAGAGAGGTCATTGTGAGAAAGATTGAGGTGAGAAAGACTAGTAAAATTTACAAGAGATGGTGAGAGACTCCCGGTGAGACCTCTAGAAGGAAGCCAAAGCTGTGTGACCCGGCCATCTGCCTCAGCACAATCAACTCCTTCCCATAGGCAGCAGTCAGTAGAGAAAGGCCAGTGGAGGGGAGGTGATGATGATGATATGTTCAAGGACAAGAGAGAGTCTCTATCCTGTTGGTTGCAGGCTGATTGACAGAGAGAGACCAATAGCAAGACAAGGAAGCAGAAGAAGAATCCTCTTGATGTTGGTGATATAGGAACCATAGAGACCTCTTTATCATCTATCATCATCAGAACAAAGCAAGAAGCAGAAGAAGAAGAAGAAGAAGTAAACATAAAGAAGAAAAATCTTGTGCCAAGTACATCATTATCTGGTCTGAACTACCTTGTACAAGATTGGAGATTAATGGAGTGATCACCCCACAGACACAGAGATGGAGAGAGAGAAAGTGGGTGCTTTCATGCGTTCTTGATTCAACTTGAATCATTTGATATTATAATGGCAATACATTACAAACAGAGGAGACTATGGTCATTATCATTATTTATTATGGACAATAAGAACTCATGAGCGTTTACTTTTTGGGGGCGGCTGGTTAGTGGCTGATGCTGGTGGACTTTTCCTCGGATGATGACCACCATACCCAAAAAACTCCCCACTGTTAATCATAAAAATGTCCTTTCTCCCTTTTCAAGGGGTTGCCCTAGATCATTTACAGATGCGTATTTGGCGTCTCTCTCTTCTCTTGTCATTATCCAGTAGAACCCTTTATGTTTACTGCGTACCTCACTCTGATCACGAAGGTTAAAACAGAAAGAAGCAAAGTCAATACCTTTTTCTTTTACTTTTTAACTTACCATCAATTACCCAGTTTTAGTTTTCATCCTTGCATATCTTCCATGTGTGTATGTATATGTACACGTATTGGTAGGAGGATTAGGTACCTTAAACTTCATTTGCATATACTTAGGGGGAAAAGAAACCTCCAGATTTTTAACCTAACCATGGTACTCCATACAGTACCCCTAACCCCCCCCCCCCAATTGGACCAGATTTATTTGCCAAAACGTGTATAATTACGTGTACATGTATATAAAATACACCATTAATACCTCATGAAAACATGTCCCATTCCAAATGAAAGAAGATTTGTTTCTGTTCTGATGGTTGACTTTTTCTTTTGAATTGCCATATCTGGTCACCTAGTTTGTATCTAGCATTTATATTATTCTTGCTGTTGGCCTTCATCTATCATAAAATTTTCAATATGTAAGCTTACAGACATGCCTCCCATCTCTTATTTATTATAAACACACACACACACATATATATGTAATGAAAATTAAGAGGGTTTGCATTAACATATCACCATTTGCACATAAATGTGTGTGTATATATATATATATATAATGAAAACCTGGTGGTTTTAGTGACCTTATAAAAGCCTGTGAGTGAAAAACATCAGGAGGTTAAAATTTTATTCATAATTATGTGGGTTTTAACAAGCTGGAAGGAATATTCAGATTCAACTATTAATGGAGCAAAGCTAATATTCTCCCTTTTCTTTTTTGTCTTTGATGTATACTGAAAATAACTTATAAACCAAAAGGAAAAGAAAAAAGAATCTGAAGAACTCAATTTCAGTCCAATTAATATCAATAACCAAACAATACCTTACTTATTTAACATATGAGAATCAATCAAAATCATGCTGAGTTGTTCTTTCTTTTCTTTTCTTTTCTTTCTTGTTTTTTTTTATAAATGATTTGAAGTTCATGCATATCCATATTATTTATAATATATATGTATATATGCCTTAGAAATCCATCAGAAGATCTCCATCAAACATTGCTTGTCTGTTTTGCACATGGCATAAGAGAGTTTTTAATTCCCATTTTAGTACTAAATTACTTTATATTAAGAGTGTGAACAATTGTTTTACCAGTAATTTTAAAACTTACGGTATAAACTCAAACAACATCCATTAAAATATTATAGGATGTAATTTAAAATATTTAATTAAATAATAGTACTAGTCATTTAGATTGAAATGTGTGACTTTGAGAAAAGTCGTAATTATTTATGATTGATGCTTTGAAGGGAGAAAAATTCCTTTCTTCTTGTTGAATATATTACACAGCCAACTCAAGAAGATAAGCATATATCTATATAAAATAATATTTGAAGAATTATGTGAGCCCTTGAAAGAAATCCACATAGAGGAGGAAAACACACGAAGTGGTTTTTGTCATCTTCCAATTTCTTCTTCCTTTTAAGTGTTGTTAGTCAATCTGCAAAACTCATGGATGTGTTGAACCATGATCCCTCCCACCTTTTATTCCATCTCCTGCTATTGCAGCCACTACCTCATCTTAGTGAAGTCATTTCAATCTACCTCTTGTTTCCTAATAGCCTTTCTACATGTATATATAATATAATATAATATATATATATATATATATATATATATATGGGCGCACACGCACACATATATAAGACAAAAAACAAAAAAGTGAAATGTAATTTTTATAAAGCTAATAGACTGCGAATGTCAAATAAATCAAAGTAAAGAGAATTACAAAAGCATGCATAAAATCAAGTTAGAGTTTCTCCATTATGTCAATAAAATATTTATTTTAAAATAAAATAACAAAATTAATTACCAAATAAATTACCTGAATTAGATATCATAACATATCTTCTATGGCCTGGGATATTATTCTTTGATATTATTTAATATAAATATTAGTTTATTATTCTTATACAATTATTAGTCATGTGTATTTGTTTTTTCTTTTTTTTTTTAATATATATATATATATATTTATTATCAATATTACTGTGTGAATATATTTACATATGTGAAGAAAACATTCCGCAAACAAATTCCCAAGCTTTCTTCAAAGAGATATGTGTTTTAGGATATATATATATACCCATATGTGGAAACATCATTTGCATGCATTTATCAAAGAATAAACCAAACGATTAATAATAAACACGTTACATAATTGTTTATAATATATATGACTGGTTGGTAAGGAAAATGAATATTCATCAAAGTACTGTACAACAGCTGGTCAATGGATGTATGCTCAACATGTTAAATGTTCTCGTTCTTTTTCTATGCCAAAGAAATCATGTTAATCACATTAATTAAATACATAAACGTGATTATGAAATATAAATTTATCTAATTACTAATTAGATAATAATACACACATAAAATATGATATATTTTTTTATTAAAAAAATAATAATAATAAAAATACATAAGAGAGTATCATGTGATTAAAATTATTAATAAACAAAATAACATAATAAATAATTATCGTATGTAACAAAACGATTTAGTTGAATGAAGATAACTAAAATTAATAATTTTTTATATAAAAAAATGTATAGAATATTTAAATAAATAATTATTGATATGTAATAAAATAATGTATTTGAAAATAATCGAAACTTATAGAAAAAAAAAATATATATATATATATATACACCAACTATTTTCGTAAATATATAACAAATGGACTTTGTGCATGTATTTCTTTAGAACTAATTTCTATATATTATATTATTTCATAAAAATAATTGCTGATAATATTATTATATGAATTAATAGGACGTGTTTTGGAGGTTATCTCCTATCTTTGCTAGTTGAAAATGAAAGAGACATGGAGGGAAGAAACGTTAGGTTTGAAAGGTAGTTAACGAACTGCGCTTCTTCATCATTCTTCCCTTCACTTCTCCTACTCTATCTTCTTCCTTGCATATTCGATTGAACAAGACAGGAATGGCGGAACTCAGACGGCGACACGCTGGATCAAATTCAACTGCTCGTCCCCATCCCCCACCCAACAGTCAGCCACCAAATCTTGTTTGGTTCAACCTTTTTAAGAATCTAATTTCAGTAATCTCTCTTATCTCCCTCACGAAACTGCAAAAATTAACCAGTTCCGATCGACAAAGCGGAAGCTCCTTATCTCTCCCCTTTCGATTACCTCCGGAATTGGAAAATCGAACTCAGGTTAGTCGTTTGATCCAATCCTTTTTCCATTTATATTCGTTCTATGGTTTTTTCTTTTTCCTGTTTCGTTAACTCTTGAACAGATGGTGTTTATGTTTATTTCTTCTTTTCTAATTTGTTAGTTTTCCGAGTCTGGTGGTTTGGCCTTCTTGTTAATCTTTGACAGTTGGTGATGGAATGCACACCATCTAGTTGACGAAATGATCTTCTAGTCTGTTTGGATAAGCCTGCAGATTGCGTTGTAAAAATAATTGTACTCAAAGTTTCTAAATGTTTGAATAAGCATGCAGATTGCATTGTAAAAATAATTGTATTGGAAGTTTCTATATGTTTGAATAAGCATGCAAGACTGAAGTGTGCTCGAAATAATTTACAAAGTGTGATCAATCATGAGATTTTCTGCCTTGTGTTGGTAGAACGGTTTGTTAATTCAACTGAGTGTAACAGGATTGAGTCTCAGTTAGAATAGTTGAGTTGTCATGAGTGACATTTTTCTTTTCTCAGCTCCAGGTCTTGAAGCTTGGATCATGGCAGAGGATTTGGATAAGCCATTGCTGGATCCTGGGAATTTCAATAGAGAAGGAATCGATTTGGTAGGTCATGCAATAGATGCCCTAGACTTACCTCACATTTCAAATTTAGTTTCACTAGTATTGAGCACTTCTCAAAAACTCTGCTTTAATAGGAGCGAATACCATTGGAGGAAGTTTTTGGACAGCTAAGAACATCCCGTGGAGGACTTTCATCTGAAGATGCTCAAGCTCGATTGACCATCTTTGGTCCTAACACACTAGAAGAGAAGCCTGTAAGCTCAACAATTTTGGAATTCTCTATTTTATTATATATGTTCAGAATTGGTGCTGAAAAGTTTAGAACAGTTTTAACTAAGATTCACAATAAAGTCTCCAAGGCACAAGAGTGAAATTGTAGATGCTGAAGAGGTTTAGTTCTCAACCTGCAGAAATTCTGTTTACTTTGGGCTTGTGAAGAACTGGGTTTCATTATCAGATCTCTCTAGATGCCTACCAAAAAAATCTCCGTTCGTTTTTTTTCCTTTCACAGATTTGTGATAGTTGACTTAATATGTATGGAAGAGAGAAGCCCAAGGTAAATGAAAGTAGCAAATACGGATAGCTTGCATGTCACAGAGGTTGATGTTGGTTGAGCTTAGTCAGTTTCTTGGCTTTTAGACCATGCTACATTGTTCTAAACAAGATATGGGAATGCTTATGGCACTGATAAATGTTGTGGAAGTTTAATTATTTGAATTGATTCCTGACTTTTATTAAGAACCCCTGTTACTTCTTAATCAGGAGAACAAGTTTCTGAAATTTCTAAGTTTTATGTGGAATCCCTTGTCATGGGTGATGGAAGCTGCGGCTGTGATGGCAATCGTTCTTGCCAATGGTGGAGTAAGTACAATACAATTTGGCATATCCTGTTACTGCCTCACACGTTTTCCTATTTCTCCTGTTATTTGTTTAGCTAACTTAAAAGGCATTTGAATCATATCTGCATTTGACTTGTAATTTCAGGGAGAGGGCCCAGACTGGCAGGATTTTGTAGGGATTGTCTGCCTTCTGATGATCAACTCAACAATTAGTTTCATAGAGGAAAACAATGCTGGGAATGCTGCAGCTGCCCTTATGGCTCGTTTGGCTCCAAAGACAAAGGTGTGTCTCTAAGAGATTCCCTGAATTAATGGAAAGACTGTACATATCTTAAGGATATTTACACAATCCTAGTAAAAATTTTGATCTCGTGGAAAGGGTTAGTTGCAGCTATAAAACAGCCTTTAAATATAAAATAATCTGCTTCAATTGACAATCTCTTTATTTAGGTTCTTAGAGATGGGCAATGGCAAGAGCAAGATGCATCAATTTTAGTACCTGGAGATATAGTTAGCATAAAGCTTGGCGATATCATTCCTGCAGATGCCCGTCTGCTTGAAGGAGATCCACTGAAAATTGACCAGGCATGTAACTGCAAATGAAGAAGATAAAAGCTGGAAGTTTCAGCAGTCACCTTTTTGTTACCTTTTCCACTACTTATCATATGATAACTAAAATAGCTTGCATTATTATTTATCAATCAAAAGGGGCTTTTTCTTAAATAATTGGAATCATATGAAGATTTCTCTTTGCAGTCAGCACTTACTGGGGAATCACTTCCAGTCACCAAGAGAACAGGCGATGAAGTTTTTTCTGGTTCAATATGCAAGCAGGGTGAGATTGAAGCTGTGGTTATAGCAACTGGAGTAAACACTTTCTTTGGAAAAGCAGCACATTTAGTGGACACCACAGAAGTTGTTGGACATTTCCAGCAGGTTCTTAATTTTAACTCTTAGCCAAACATTTTCAATGTGGTAAAATTCAGAATCTGCTCTTAAGTATGAGAACTTCTTCTTTTGTTGAACTTAATATACTTAATTTCAGTAGTATGAGGTCTGCCTTTTTGCAAAAGAACTTCTGATTTTGTGTTTAATGCCAATCGAACCATGTTTAATATTTTAATTTCAGAACAAGTTCAATTAAAATCTTGTAAGAATGCTGGGGAAAAAAATCATATTTGAGGCTCAATTAATTGACTTCATGAAATTGCTTAAATTCAGAAGAAGCTCTGACACCTTTGACAATTTTTCTTGTAGGTACTCACCTCCATCGGAAACTTCTGCATTTGTTCCATAGCTGTAGGAATGATCCTTGAAATCATTGTTATGTTTCCCGTTCAGCACCGCTCTTACAGGGATGGAATCAACAACCTTCTTGTTCTGTTAATTGGAGGAATTCCTATAGCAATGCCAACTGTACTATCTGTTACACTTGCAATTGGTTCCCATCGCCTTTCTCAACAGGTTTTAATCTAAACAAATACAGTCACAGAATCTCATAAGACCATCTTGATTCTTTTGTTGACCATTATTTTCTGTTGTTAATCAACAAAAAATGCCAGTTTGAAGTCAAAATGCCTTTTCCAAAATAATGTTTTAATTGGTTTATTCAATGTTTTCTTTTCCTTAAAAAGCATGTGAATATTGTAGCAAGAGAGTCCAATATCTTAGGCTTTCTAACCCTTAAAGAATGATTATTCAGAGTCTTGAGTTGATATTCTTTTCATTTCATTTTGTGTTTAATTGTTTAAGGGTGCAATTACAAAAAGGATGACTGCAATTGAAGAAATGGCAGGAATGGATGTCCTCTGCAGCGATAAAACTGGAACTCTTACTTTAAATCGCTTAACTGTTGATCGAAACCTCATTGAGGTAAAAAGGTCGACTATGGCCATGATAACTATTGCTTTATGATTTTCTCAAAAAGAAAAAAAACTATTGTCTTCTGATACAATCTATGAAATTAATAGATAATTACGGGAGTCTACATTAACATGTGACATGTCAATCTTGTTTGAGAAGTCTGGGAAATGAACTATCATAATAGAGCTGTCAGTATTAGCTGATATGTCTAAAGTTATTACATGTTTCTCAATGTTATACAGCATGACTCAGTGTTGGTGCAGAGCAATTTCTGATTTACTACTTTAGAATAGAAAATGAAGAAACTTGTTTGTAAGATGTAATTTTTTTCAGATGAAACTCTTAGTTTCATTGAGTCTACATCACTTTTGTTGGATGGAAAAAATCTAAAGACTGAATAAACCACTCTCAAGTTCTTAGGCTTGTCAATCCACTAGGAGTCTGGTATATAGTATTCTGGAATTGTCTTATTTACTTCATTTTAAGTATCTTAATAAATTTATTAAAAGTCAAATAAGATCGGTAACCAATGGAATATAATTCTTGGAATTTATTATCTGTGATAGATCCCCTTAACAAATAAGAAGGTTTAATTATG